ACATGTAATATTACGAATAATGTTACAATATAATGGTATAGTACAATATAGTAATATATAATACTGATATTGTACTATGCTAATAATATAATATAGTGTATGTATATAATACTGATATTGTACTATGCTAATAATATGCTAATATTGTACGTATATATACCTTGTAAGCTGCTCTGAGTCCCCTTCGGGGTGAAAAGGGCGGCATATAAATCGTAAATAAATAAAATAAATAATTACCCTCCAGAACCCAACACTCAGTATTTTCAGCAGGACTATATTACTATGTTAATAGAAAACTACACTATTAAATAATACCCTTGTGTAATAGACAACTAATATAGCAATTTTTCTATGAATGTATATAGTTGCCATAATATTATGAGGGACGTTAATACACGTTTATTAAAGTTATTAATGATGCATTCTATTAATGCTGCCATGATATTACAGCAATAAAACATTATTAAACACCATTATTATTTATGCAACCCCTCTTGACACAATATTACGAGACTATAGTGCGAGACTCTACATTGCAATTAATTGAATTAATACGACAAACTGCAATGGAACGAAGCTATACGGCAACAGGAATATGGAAACAGCCTCATGGCATACGGTATGAGAGGCTGACAAGATATTACAGCCATTACTTAGGCAAACGCTGCATTCCTATGCACCCAAAGAGATGCCCAAATGCATAACCACGCACATACATAGTATATAGGTCTCCTCGGAAGGAAGTAAAGCACACTGAGGTCATTCTCCCAATGTATGAAATGTACATAAATGCTGTTTATATGCCCTATAGCCACCCATATAATAGGAAATCACAATATAACAGTGATCTTGTACATTGCAAGAATACATCTTCCTACCATCTGTCTGTCTGTCTCTCTCTCTCATTCCCTCTCTCTCTCTCTCTCTATATATATATATCTGTATATACATACATACATACACACACATAATCTGGGTTGCTGTGAGTTTTACGGGTTGTCTGGCCATGCCCTCTCCTGATGTTTTGCTTGCATCTATGGAAGGCACCTGCAAAGGTTGTGAGGCCTGTTGGAAACTAGCCAGTTGGGGTTTGTTTTTATATATATATATATTATTATTATATAGATTGTAACAAAAGAGAGAGTTGCAATGTGTACATACATAAATAGCAATTATTATTATTATTATTATTATTATATAGATTGTAATTAAAGAGAGTTGCAATGTCGAGATGGATGGATAGCTATTATATTATATGTATGTATGTATGTAATGTTCATTTGTGGGATTAACATAACTCTAAAAACACTGGACAAATTGACACCAAATTTGGACAGTATATACCTAACAACCCAATGTATGTCCTTCGCTCAAAAAAATTGATTTTGTCATTTGGGAGTTGTAGTTGCTGGGATTTATAGTTCACCTACAATCAAAGAGCATTCTGAACTCCACCAATGATGGAATTGAACTAAACCTGGCACACAGAACTCCCATAACCAACAGAAAACACTAGAAGGGTTCGGTGGGCAGTGACCTTGAGTTTGGGAGTTGTAGTTCACCTACATCCAGAGAGCACTGTGGACTCAGACAAGGATGGATCTGGACCAAACTTGGCAGGAATATTCAATGTGCCCAAAGATGGAGTTTGGGGGAAATAGACCTTGACATTTGGGAGTTGTAGTTACTGGGATTTACAGTTCACCTACAATCAATGAGCATTATGACTGCCACAAACTGTTTACCCACAAGCATGGATAATTTACATAGATTAGAAACCAACACTTTCTCATTACTTTATTTTCTAAATCACCAGACTGGGCCACAGCAACGCGTGGCAGGGGACGGCTAGTGTATGTGTGTGTATATATATATATTATATCATACACACACATGCACACAGAGATATAGATAGATAGATAGATAGATAGATAGATAGATAGATAGATAGATAGATAGTTGCAATGTGGAGATGGATGGATAGAATGTCCAAGGTGGGAGTTCAGGTGGTTCTGTTCACCTTCGAGGAGGTGGGCTTCGCATATTCCTTTTGCACAGTCTGACAGGGATCTAACTGTGCTTCTTTTTTTTTTCTTTTTTTTACTTTGTGATAATTGGAGCTTTCAAAGCCTGGCTGCTTCCTGCCTGGGGGAATCCTTTGTTGGGAGGTGTTAGCTGGCAGGAAACAGCCAAGCTTTGCAGCTGCAAGGCTATTCAATGCTAATCAAGGTGGCCAATTGCAACATTCATACTTGCCTCAAGCAGGCAAGAGTCCTTTCTCCCACCCTGGACATTATTCCACAGATATATAAACCCCAACTGCCTAGTTTCCCACAGGCCTCACAACCTCTGAGGATGCCTGCCATACATGTGGGTGAAACGTCGGGCGATAATGCTTCTGGAACATGGCCAGACAGCCCATGTGTTGTTGTAAATTGCTTTGCATCTCAATCACAGAGATAAATGTGGGGCACGAATATAGAATCCTAGAGTTGGAAGAGACCTCATGAGCCATCCAGTCCAACCCCATTCTGCCAAGAAGTAGGAAAACTGCATTCAAAGAACCCCCAACAGATGGCCATCCAGCCTCTGTTTAAAAGCCTCCAAAGAAGGAGCCTCCACTACACTCCAGGGCAGAGAGTTCCACTGCTGAACAGCACTCATATATAGATAGATAACAATAATCACATTCATAAAAACCTCCCCACTTTGGCATCTTGTTCTTACAACCAAGCAATATAGCAATATATAGCTCTATTTCTATCTATATCAATACAGCAATGGCATTATATTAGACAAATATATAATTGCAATAGAGAAGAGTGCCAAGGGGGTAGGTTTGCAAATATAGATTGTAACTAAAGAGAGAGTTGAGACGTGTAGGTACATAGGTAGCCATTATTATTTTATATAGATTGTAACTAAAGAGAGAGTTGCAATGTGTAGATACACAGATAGCTATTATTATCATTATATAGATTGTAACTAAACAGAGAATTGCAATGTGGAGATACATAAATAGCAATTACTATTATTGTATAGATTGTAACTAAAGACAGTTGCAATGTGGAGATGGATAGGTAGCAATTATATTATTATTATTATTATTATTATTATTATTATTATTATTATTATTATTATATAGATTGTAACTAAAGAGAGTTGCAATGCAGAGATGGATAGATAGCAATTATATTATTATATAGATTGTAACTAAACAGAGAATTGCAATATGAAGATACATAAATAGCAATTACTATTATTGTATAGATTGTAACTAAAGACAGTTGCAATGTGGAGATGGATAGGTAGCAATATTATTATTATTATTATTATTATTATTATTATTGTATAGATTGTAACTAAAGAGAGTTGCAATGTGTAGATAGGTAGCGGTCCTAAAACAACCTATATTGATTCGTTGCAAGAACAGCAGTGCCAGAGGGGTATATAATACAACTACGTATGTGCATGCACAGAGTTCCTTTGGGAGTCAGAGCATGGGCAGAGTTCCTTTTCCTTTTGAATCACTGCAGTCCTCTGAGCAGGTTCATTATAATCGCCAGATGCTTTCCTTTTGGGTCTCTATAACCCTCTGAGCATGCACAGAGTTCCTTTGGGAGTCTGAGCATGGGCAGAGCTCCTATCCCTGCTGGGTCACTGCAGTCCTTTGAGCATGTGCAGAGTTCCTTTCCCTTTTGAGGCATTGCAGTCCTGCAAGCGGGTTCATTATAACCTCCAGATGCTTTCCTTTTGGGTTTCTATAACCCCCTGAGCATGCAATGAGTTCCTTTGAGATTCTGAGCATGCAGAGAGTTCCTTTCCCTTTTCAGTCACTGCAGTCCTCTGAGCAGGTTCATTATAATCTCGAGATGCTTTCCTTTTGGGTCTCTATAATCCTGTGAGCATGCACAGAGTTCCTTTGGGAGCCTGAGCATGTGCAGAGTTGCTTTCCCCTTTCAGTCACTGCAGTCTTCTGAGCACGTTCATTATAATCTCCAGTTGCTTTTCTTTGGGGCTTCTATAACCCTCTGAGCATGCACAGAGTTCCTTTGGGATTCTGAGCATGCACAGAGTTCCTTTCCCTTTTTAGTCACTGCAGTCCTCTGAGCATGCACAGAGTTCCTTTGGGATTGTGAGCATGCAGAGAGTTCCTTTCCCTTTTTAGTCACTGCAGTCCTCTGAGGATGTGCAGAGTTCCTTTCCCTTTTGAGGCATTGCAGTTCCCTGAGCAGGTTCATTATAATCTCCAGATGCTTTCCTTTTGGGTCTCTAAAACCCCCTGAGCATGCACAGAGTTCCTTTGGGAGCCTGAGCATGGGCAGTGTTCCTCTGAGCATGCAATGAGTTCCTTTGGGAGCCTGAGCATGGGCAGTGTTCCTCTGAGCATGCAATGAGTTCCTTTGGGAGCCTGAGCATGTGCAGAGTTCCTCTGAGCATGCAATGAGTTCCTTTGGGAGCCTGAGCATGTGCAGAGTTCCTCTGAGCATGCAATGAGTTCCTTTGGGAGCCTGAGCATGTGCAGAGTTCCTCTGAGCATGCAATGAGTTCCTTTGGGAGCCTGAGCATGTGCAGAGTTCCTCTGAGCATGCAATGAGTTCCTTTGGGAGCCTGAGCATGTGCAGAGTTCCTCTGAGCATGCAATGAGTTCCTTTGGGAGCCTGAGCATGTGCAGAGTTCCTCTGAGCATGCAATGAGTTCCTTTGGGAGCCTGAGCATGTGCAGAGTTCCTCTGACCCTGCACAGAGTTCCTTCCTAATCCTGTGAGCATAGAAAGAGTTCCTTTGGGAGGCCTAAACATCAGAGGATGCAAAGCCTCCCCCTTCCCTGCCCCTGCTTTCCTCTGAGCATGCACAGATTTCCTTTGAGGGGGCTGAGGGGGGGGGAGGGAGGGGCCTGAGGCTGTTGACATCCAGAGGGAAGGCCCAAGTTGTCCCAGGCCGGACTAGGCCCCTCCCCGGCGTGTTCCCTTCTTCTTTCCCTCGCAGGGAGGGCCTCACCTCGAGTGGGGCTGGCGGGCGAGGGGGCTCCTCCGCAGAGCAGGGCGGCCAGGAGCCAGGCGGGGGCCAGCGGGGAGAGACGCATCTCTGCGGGCCAGGCCGGGACGGGCCTCCTCCTGCTCTCGTCAGGGAAGTCGGCTCTTCCTCCCGCCGCTGCCAAGCCAACTAAGATGGCGGAGCCTCAGCCCATCACCGCCTCCTCCGCCTCCTCCTCCTCCTCTCCCGCCCAGCACGGGTTGCCAGGCGACGGAGCTGGGACAGCCAATGAGGAAAGAGGAGGAGAGTCCATCTCCGGGAGGGTGGGAGGGGAGCACCCGTTGCCAGGCGACCGAGAGGGAGGAACCAATGGGAGGGGGAGAAGGCAGGGCGAGACCATCTTTATCCGATTGGGAGGGGGCCCCGTTGCCAAGCGACGGAGAGGGAGGGACCATTTCTTTGGGGGTCGCAGGATGAAGCATCCCAACCATCCCAAGGAGTTGAAAGCCTATCTATCTATCTATCTATCTATCTATCTATCTATCTATCTAATATTATAATATACATTATATATATATATATATATATATATATAAAATTTATCTATATTAATATATATTATATCATATATATTATAATATATATAATATATAATTAACGTATATTACTATATATGTTTATATATATTAATATAATATATTATAATAATATTATATAATATATATATTGATATGTATTACATTAATATTATATTAATATTATATATATTAGGAGCCTCCGGTGGCGCAGTGGGTTAAAGCACTGCGCTGCTGAGCTTGTTGACTGAAAGGTCGCAGGTTCAATTCCGGGATCAGTGTGAGCTTCCACTGTCAGCCCCAGCTTCTGCCAACCTAGCAGCTCGAAAACATGCAAATGTGAGTAGATCAATAGGTACCGCTATAAATTTATTTATTTATTTATTTATTTCACAGTTTTCTATACCAAGCTTCTCAACCTCATTGAGGGACTCAGCCCGGTTTCCAGCCATAAAAACATATACACTCATTAAAATATCATATATCACAATTACAAAAACAACTTTAAAAACACTATATATAAACACTACAGTGGTCAGACGTCCTATTAAGATGGGTCTACATCAACTTCCATCCAGGGTCCTATGGTGTTATCTCATTCGTCGAAGGCCTGACTCCACAGCCACGTCTTCATCCGTTTCCTAAATGTTAGGATGGATGGGGCGGTTCTGGCCTCCAGAGGGAGAGAGTTCCAGAGTCGCGGGGCCACCACCGAGAAGGCCCTGTCCCTCGTCCCCACCAGCCGCGCTTGCGAGGCCGGTGGGACCGAGAGCAGGGCCTCTCCAGATGATCTTAATAATCTTGATGGTTCATAGGGGAGAATACGTTCGGAGAGGTAAACAGGGCCGGAGTAGTTTAGGGCTTTATAGGTCAACACCAGCACTTTGAATTGTGCTCGGAAGCTAATTGGCAGCCAGTGGAGCTGGCGTAACAGCGGAGTGGTGTGCTCCCTGTACCCAGCCCCCGTTAGTAATCTGGCTGCCGCGCGTTGGACTTGCTGCAGCTTCCGGGCAGTCTTCAAAGGCAACCCCACGTAGAGAGCGTTGCAGTAGTCTAAGCGGGATGTAACCAAAGCGTGTACTACCATGGCCAGGTCAGCCCTCCCAAGGTACAGACGCAGCTGGCGCACAAGGTAAGGGTGTTCCCTGCAGTCATGCCAGTGGCCACATGACCTTGGAGGTGTCTACGGACAACGCTGGCTCTTCGGCTTAGAAATGGAGATGAGCACCACACCCCAGAGTTGGAGACGACTGGACTTAATGTCAGGGGAAAACCTTTACCTTTACCTTAATATTATATATTAATAAGATATTACTGTATAATATATTATAAATTATAATATATAATATATAATTAATATATATTACTATATATGTTTACATATATTAATATTATATAATATACTATAGTAATATTATATAATGTGACATATAGTACATTAATATTATATTAATATTATATATTGCTATATGATATATTATAAGTTATATCATATATAATTAACATATATTACTATATATTATATTAATATTAAACATTAATATAATATTACTATATAATATATTATTAATTATAATATATCATATATAATTAACATATATTAAGGTAAAGGTAAAGGTTGTCCCCTGACATTAAGTCTAGTCATGTCTGACTCTGGGGTGTGGTGCTCATCTCCATTACTAAGCCGAAGAGCCGGCGTTGTCCATAGACACCTCCAAGGTCATGTGGCCAGCATGACTGCATGGAGCGCTATTATATTACTATATTATTAATATATTACTATATTATTAATATATAACATATATTACTATATATTATATTTATATTATACATTAATATTACTATATATTATAAATTATATCATATGTAATTAACATATATTACTATATATTATATTAATATTATATATTAATATATTACTATATAATATATTATAAATTATAATATAACATATATTACTATATATTATACTAATATTACACATTAATATTACTATATAATATATTATAAATTCCTATATAATATATAATATTAATATTATACATTAATATAATATTACTATATATTATACATTATAATATATCATATATAATTAATATATATTACTATATATTATAATATTAAATATTAATATAATATTACTATATAATAAATTATAAATTATATCATATATAGCAATATATATTAATTATTATATATTAACATAATATCACTATATATTATAAATTATAATATATCATATATAATATATTAATATTATATATCAATGTAATATTAGTATATTGTACTATACTGCAATAATATTACTAATATTGCCCAGACTATATAATATTGCATCAATGGTGAGAGTAAGGAACACTGGGATGTGTGTGTTGGACAAAAAACATTGGCAGTCTCCCACCTTCTTTGCCTCCAAGATCAGACGTTTCCTTCAGCAGAAAGGCAGGCCAAAGCGTCACTCAGAAACAAATATATGGAAATGCACAGATGGCACACAACTTTTCCCATTCATTTTTGGAGGCAACAGATTCCCAGAAGTATCTTTCCACAGGAACTGGAAGTGTTTGCCTTCGTAGCTCTGCTCAATGGCAGGTGCTAATTTATTCCATGTTGCCAATTAGACAAAGAGCATAAACACAAGTGCTGGGTCGTCTAGATGCACCAAAGATGCGCTGAATCCCAAATTATGCCCCATTATTACCCGACAGGCTTTGTGTTCTTCTGGCATATTAATTACATGCCTTGCGACAGTGCAGATTAACACAATTACAGGCCTTCGCTCCCTCCTCGCCTCGAACATCCTACCTTCCGAATGATGTGCTAGAGGCTTAGCATGTTATTAATAATTAGGAATAATAGGGATCCTTCCACTGCAGATGCAAATGAAGCAGCAGTCACTGTAAACATCAAAGGCGATCAGAAGTCAGATTTCCTCCCAGTTAAAAAAAACGCAACATAAACAAATAAGTATATTGTTTATAGAGGATTTCTACCACTCCCACTGACAAAAAAGGACTCCCAAGGAGGCTTACAGGTAATTAATTGATATGATGGTTCCTTCCCCTCCAGGTTACAATCTAAATAAGGGATGTACAGGGATCACACCATCCTATCCTTCCTTCCTTCCTTCTCTTTACTTCCTCCTTCCCTCCCTCTTTCCCCCTCCTTCCCTTCCACCCTTTCTTGTTTCCCTCTTTCCTCCCTCCTTCCCTCTTCCCCCTTCCTTTCTCTTTCCTCCCTGCATTCCCTTCCTTTCCTCCCCTTCCCTCTCTTTCTCCTTCCTTCCCTTCTCTCCCTCCCTTTATTCCCTTCCACCCTTCCTTCCTCTTTCCTCCTTCCCTCTCTTTTTCCTTCTTTCCTTCCTTCCCTTGTCTTCCCTCCCTCTATTCCCTTCCACCCTTCCCTTCCGTCCTTCCTTCTTCCCTCCCTTAACACCCTTCTTCCCTCCCTTTCTCCTTCCTTCCCTTTCTCTCTTCCTTCCCTCCCTCTGTTCCCTTCCATCCTTCCCTTCTGCCTTTTTGTCCTTCCTTCCCTTTCCTCCCTCCCTCTTTCTCCTTCCTTCCTTCTCCCTTCTTTCCCCTTCCACCCTTCCTTTCGTCCTTCCCTTTCGTCCTTCCTCCCCCCCTTTCCTCCCTCCTTCCCTCTCTTTCTTCTCTTCTCTTCTCTTCCCTCCCTCTATTCCCTTCCACCCTTTCTTCCCTCTTCCCTCCCTCCCTCCATCTTTCTCCTTCCTTCCTTCCCTTCTCTTTCCTCCATCCCTCTAGTCCCTTCCTTTTTTCCACCCTTCCCTTTCATCCTTCCTTCCCCCTCTTTCTCCTTCCCTCCCTCTATTCCCTTCCATCCTTTTGCCCTTCCTCCCCTTTCCTCCCTCCTTCCCTCTTTCTCTTTCCTTCCCCCCTCTATTCCCTTCCACCCTTCCTTCCTTCCTTCCTTCCTTCCTTCCTTCCTTCCCTTTTGTTTTTCCTCCATCTCTCCTTCCCACCCTCTATTCTCTTCTACCCACCCTTCCTTCCATCCTTCTCTTCCTCCCTCCCTCCCTTCCTTCTCTTTTTCCTTCCTCCTTTCCTCCTGGGGGTTGTTTACCTGGGAGAAGGTCAAGAGAACCATGTTTCAAGATTCAAAAGGAGGAGAAGGAGGGGGGAAGTGACGCATGATAAATATTTTACATTAATATTTATTGAAAAACCGCAAAACAGCGAGTCCACGAAAAGCGAACCGTGAAGTAGCGAGGGAACACTGTACTATTATTATTATTATTATTATTATTATTATTATTATTGTCAATATTAACCTCCAAGTTCTGTGACAGACTGTGATGGAATGCCACTCTTCAGGATCTCAATTCACATTGACTTCTGGATCTATTTTTTCAGACCAAAGTTAAAGCAGGGAGACTAGTGGATGTAATCCAAGGGGAGTAATTCCCACCCCAACTCTAATCTACAGACATCCTGGCCTTGGCACCATCCCTTTATCCATCGATTTATTTTTCAGACCCATATTTTTGAGAGAGCGGATGCTCAGCCCAAACACAACAGACCGATGGGAAGAAAACAGGAGGATCCCAGTAGATCTCCATCCACCTAGTACAACTCCGTCCCTTTCGGATGGACGCTTTTGGGTGGCGAAGACTTACGAAGCTG